GGCCCCAGGGCCCTGGGAGGTGGCTCAGGCCGCGGTTCCATGGGGGAGGGGGGCGTGGTAAGGAAAGACCCAGGCTGGGACACAGCCTCCCACTGCTCCCAGTGCCACTGTGGAAGAGGGAACAGCTCCCGGGAGCAGGGACGGCTGCAGGAGGCCAAGCAGTTGGACGTGTGTCCCTCCCTGTCCCCTTCCCGGCAGTCTCACGCCCCTCAGTTCCGAGGTCCCCCCTCCAGCTGAGGAGCAGGGCTCTTCCTGAGACGGGTGGGGCTTCTTCTTGCCCCCAAAGGCTTGGTGCCATCAGACAGAGCCCCGCCCCTGAGCTGAGCACAGACCCCATCTAAGTGGGAACCACCTCTACGCCCTGGGCAGCCAGACCGCGTGGCCACGGCAAACCCTGGCCGTGTCACCGAATGTGAGGCGCAAGTCACATGGAGCCTCAGAGTCCTCACAAGTGGTCTGTGGCTGGAACCTTCCTTCCGCCCAAGTGCGTGCGCGCCCGCCCTAGGATGGCCTGCTCCAGCGAAGGGCTCCAGGCCCCTCTCAGCTGTGCCATCCTGGACACGTGTGGGCGCTCACTGTCCGCTCAGTCAAGCAGCTTGGGTGGCCCAGGGTCTGCCCGTCCTGGCCCTCCCGGGGTGTCCTCCTCTCAGGGTAGAGCAGAGGGGCTCCCCGTGCCCCACCATCCTCCCTCCTGCTCCCAAGACACCCCAGGATCAGCTGTGCCCACAGTCAGGCAGTGACAAATATGATCACCTTCAAAGTGTCGCTCTGACAAGATTAGATTATTTTAATATTAATGCATTACCTAATTAAACTGTAATTAATAATCTCTCTGGCCCAGCCTGGATAAGGAAGGTAGCCATGCGAGGAGCCAGGAGGTGGGGGTGGGGCCGCGGTTTTAGGTTCCTGCCAACCCAGGGGCCGTGCCATTGATATGGGTGGTTTAGCAATTCTTTTGTCAAAAATCCAGCAGGAAAACCTCATTAAGAGCTTTTCCTGCCTAACCATCAGAGCAGGTAGGGGTGAGTGGTGGCCGCCCCTCACCCCCTACCTGGGTGCCCAGAGCGACCCCAAACATGCTGGCACGGGGCTGGACGCGCTCTCCTCTTTAGCCAAACGGCTTTCTTTGGGAGGTGGGGCAGCCCTGCCATCTGGCTCCGAGTAGAACCACTGTGTGCCCGTCCATCTGAAGGCCAGCTCTAAGCCTCGCCCTGTGCACAGCGGACCGGAGCCGTCTGGACCGCTGGCCTTCTGATGTATCTGTCAAGGACCGGCCACGTTTTCCCATGGTCTGCTGTTGGTGCTAAGTCAGGGCCCGGCCACAGCAAGCCCGCAGCTCCCAGCAACACCTGTCCTCACAGCCACAGGCCTGAGTGGTGGCAGGACCGGCTGGCCTTTGAGGTCCAGACTAGAGGGTGGACAGTGTCAGAGAGGGTGGGACATTTGCTGGTGCTACAAGGCCCTGGAGCCCTGCTCTCCAGGACGTGTCTCTGGGTGCCAGGGAACCCATCAGGCACGGACCAGTGCCAAGGCTTCGGTAGCTGGGGGAGGTCACCGGGCACAGCCAGGGGCCTAGTCCCCCTGCTGCTGGAGGCCTGTGTCTAGAGACAGACGCGGAGGCCCAGGGGACGGTGGGTGCGCTGAGTCGTGGCTGCTGACAACTCAGAGCCCTCCAGGCAGAATAAACACACACGGCCTCCACAGAGGCCGGCACTCCTCGCTGTGCTCTGTCGACACCAGCACCACCGCCATCTGTCCACCTGGCACAAGGGCCATCAGTATGGCGTCTGGCTGTCCTAACTGGCTCCCTCTGTGGACACAGCTGCTGTCCAGGAGGGGGAGTGGCCTGTGGTGCCCGTGGTGGCAGCAGCAGCCTGCGAGACTGCGAGACGGAGGGTACAGGTTCTGTGAAGGTGGTGGGGGGCGGACGATGCAGGCTGCACACCCACCGGCGGTCCACACACGGCCACTTCCTTATCCCTAGGATGTTGAGCTGACCTGGCCCAAGCAATGCCCCACCTACCATGGCCATGGCTCGGTCCGCTGTGCCCCAAAGACAAAACCACCCACACTTCCGGTCAGACACCAGCAGCTGGGTCTAGCCCAGGGCATCTCAGCACCAGGCACCCTCCACCCTACTGCCGCGCCTTACTCAGGCCCCACTGGGGTCCTGCAGGCCCGTGTCCCCGCCAGCCGAGCACCTCAGTGGCCTGGCACTCGCCGGGCCTTCACAAGCCATTTACAGCAGGCCACGCGGGGCAGAAAGGTGGGAAGCTCTGGCCCACATCACCTCTCGAGGCACTGGAGGTGCTCTGTCCCCAGAGCCTTCAGGCCAGGATGTCTGTGCCAGCTACTGCCGAGGCTGCTGCACTGGGTCTCTGGCGCGTCCCCGGGGCTGGCGCTGACGCCCTGCCTTTCACATCTTCCTTCTAGGTTCCCCCTCATTTCACCGGAGGCGCATGCTTGACCAGCCTCCTGAGAACGGGGACGGGGCTCAGCCTTTTCAGGCCTTGAACATGAGAAGCTGTCCTCAGACTCATGGTGGTGGGGATGGCAGTCGGGTCCTCCTGGGACCGCCCTAGGCCTCCCAGCTCCTGGGTCACTGTGACGACAGGCCAGGCCGACACTGACTCTCAAGACACCTGCGATTTCTCCCTGCAAGGCCACAGGCTGTCCTCTGTCCCCTTGCGTGGGTGCCTTCTTAGTGCCCCACGTGACAGGCAGTCACCTCTCTTCCCAAAGGAAACGCTCTCCTTAGGTGCTGTGACTGCTTGGGTTTTGGATCTCATGGGCAGTTCCTCGAAGTTTCTTACCTTTTTTCTCCTGTTTTCTATCTCACTCTCTTTTTGTTCTATTTCTCAGATAAATGTTCCCTATTTTATCCCATAAATTTTTTATTTAGATTTTCATTTAATTCTTGCTGTTTGTGACTTACGAAGTACCTGTTTTTCTCTTTGAAAACATTTTAAACCATCTTGTTCTTGTCCTTGTTCGATTGCTGTGATGTCCTTCCTCATCTCCGGGGCCTCCTGTACGGCTCCTGGGGGTTTACTCGCCTCTGATGGTGTGTTTCCACCAAGTGGCGTTTTTCCTACTTGTTTATCTTGCTCTGTTTCTCACTGTCTGATAGTCCTTGGTTACCCACTAATAATCAGGAGTGAGCTCTACAGGGCCCTCCGAGGGGCCCCCCTGTGCAGTGACGGGCCACACTGTCCCCTGGGGGTCCCCAACGTCAGTGCCTTTGGTCTTGTCAGGCTGGTCAGGTGCCCCGAAAGGAGCCTGCCCTGGGGGTGAGCAGAGCGGGCCTGGGGTGAGGGCCTGGGCAGGTGTTGGGTCCATTTGCACCCGTCCACTCCACCCCTCGAGTTCAGTCAGTGCTCTCGTCCTGAACTGTGCCCTGGGCTGATGTCCTCTGCAGCCCCTCCAGAGCAGCGACCCACAGACGTGAGGGGCGCCTGTCGCCAGAGATCGCTGGCCCACCCCCAGGATCTCTCACCCAGTGCGACTGAGCTGGAGCCCGAATCCTGCATTTCTGCAGGTTCCCAGAGGCTGCCGCCAGCCGAGGCCGCTGTGGAACCACTGCTCCAGGGGACGAAGCCGCGGCTCTGTCTCCGGCTTTCGGTCTCTGCTGGGGGAGAGGCAACTGCCCACTGAGTGCAGCCGGGCGGGAGGTGTGGGGCTCCGACCGCCTCAACGGCCCTCTCCAGCAAGCATCCTTAGCCCTCCTCGTCTGAGCCAGTACCCCTCCCCCAGCGCTATAGCTGCCAATTCTGGGACTTTGGGGAGTTTTGTGGCATAACTGGGAGTGGTGCTCGGCTCTGCCATGCCCACAATCCTTTGTTCCTGCTTACCATTCAACCACCCACCACCGGCTGCCGGATTCCAAAGGGTGCCCCGGCCCGCTGGCCTCCTCTCTGTCCACACCTGGACCATGCAGGGTGGGCCAGGGCTGCCCCCCTTCCCGGGCCCCGACTGACGCTCCAAGGTCCCTCAGGGGAGCCGACCCACGCCCTCCCGCAGTGTGACACAGAAGCGCCTCTCTAAGCCCCGTCCGCTAGGCACCCTCGCCAGACGCCAAGCAGCTCTGTCCCCATGCTGAGCACAGTGACAGAGGAGAGCCTCAAGCCTTACTGGAGGACGACCTATCCTATCAGGTGAGGTCGGGGACCCTTCTGTGGGCCCTTTCACAAAGGACACGTCAGGTTGGTCAGGTGCCCCGAAAGGAGCCTGCCCCGGGGGTGAGCAGAGCGGGCCTGGGGTGAGGGCCCTAGTGCACATGTCCCTGCAAACATCCCCACGGGCGGGCAGGCAGGCAGGGCCCTCAGCGACACGAGCCCACGGCATCCGTGCTCCGCGCCCAGAAGGCCCAGAGCAGAGGCCGCAGGTGCCCCTCTGGCCACCGGCTTCCCTACGGGGCACACCGTGTATGGCGACCCCGGGAAACTGGGCCCCCAAAGGCTCTCCTTCTTGGCAGCGACAGAACTCCTTTTCTCTGCACTTGCTGAGTGCACGTTCTGAGGCCCGGACTCGGCAAATGTAAAACTCTGAGGCCAACAGTGACATGCCAGCTGTCACTTTACTGGAGGTGACGAGCCCTGTGGCGACAGGTCGCTTCCCTGATTTACAGAGTGCCGTATGGGGTGAACGTGCGGATTCGAAAGCAGCTTCCTTTGGCCTCTGCAGAGGGCCCCTGGATCCTGAGAAACGCACTTAGGCCAGCGAAAGACGGCCCTATGTCCGTGGAGTATTGGATTTGCCGGTGATGAGTGGGCCCATGCAAGCTGATAAACGATACTAATTTGTTCTTGGCGTCTGAAAAGATTTCGGCCACTTATTTCCCCTCTGCCGCCTGAGTTGCTTCCTGCCGCTCTCCGCACAGCCCCTGCGACGCTTGGTCCAGACCCTCCCTCGGCCCGGCTGCCCGCATAGGATGGGCGGATGGACAGACGGACGGACGCTCAAGCCACCCCACTGGCTGTCAAGGACAGGGGAGCGCCTACCTGCCACCTCCTTGGACGACGGCAGACATGAGGCCTCCAGGCTGGCCGGGACGGGGCCGCCTCTCTCCAGGGTGCCCAGCAGGGCCCGCAGCCGCTCGCACTCCTCCTGCAGCCGGGCCTGGTCCTGGCGGAGGCACTGCCGCGCCGCGCTGGCCGGGTTCATGCTCATGTGCAGTACTTTGGTTCTGCTCTGGTCGTAGTCACCCTGCGGGAGCACAGGGCACGGGGTCAGCACAGCCGCAGCCTCTGTGACCACGACAGGACCCAGGCGCCCAGAAGCTGTGGTGCCCAACACCTGCCGCCTGAGGCTGACGATCAGGACCGGCCTGGCAGACGCAGTGGCCGGGGCCTGACTCTCGGCGCTCCTCCTCCACGGGCACAGCTCTGCCAGGCGCGTCACCTCTCTGGGCTTCTGTGCCTGTCAACGAGGCCATGCTGCCACCATTGACCTCCAGGAGTTGTAAGGAAGAAACGGGGGAGAACGCCGAGAAAACCCTCCTGGATGCACCGTGGGAACATTGTAGACGCTCAGCACACACGCGTCCCCTCCTGTTAGTCTTAACCACCTGACGTAAAGACAGACTGCGGCGGGCACCTTGTACATGTGACGCGGCTCAACACGCTGTTGGCAACTACTGCAGTGACTCGGGGCTCCCGCCAGCCTGTGACGGTGCCTTGGCAGGCCGCTCATGGACGCCTGGCTCCCAGTCCCTAACAGCAGGGCCCGTACATTAAAAACAAGCACGTGACAGAAACAGTGAGGACTCTGCCGAGTCCCCATGTGCCCCACGCAGTCCCAATTAACATGTCGCACGCCAGGCCGTCTCGGTGCCACTCGCAAACCCACGCCGATCCGTTTCTTCGCATTTCCATTCACCCCATGCCCTTCCCGTCCTGGGACCCAGGTGACCCTTGGTCGTCATGTCTCCTTCAGCTCCACATGGTTGCCTGGCGAGGAGGCCCAGGGGTGCAGCGCCCACCTCCGCACAGCTCTGACTGTGGCCCCTGACTGGGTGTGGTGCAGGGCTGTCCCCGGCGAGGGCTCTGCTGCCCCGTCCACGCTGCACGCTGGAAGTCACCGTGCAGACCACACCTTGGCACTTCTTCAACCCCTTACCGACACCAGTGCTGACTGGACATCTATTTGATGCTCTGGTTTATAATCCATCACACTCCTCTTATGGCTTTGGCCACTGGGGGCTCTCAGTCGGCTCCTGTGTCCCCCCCGACATGCCCCATCTAGGTTTCACATTTTCGGGCACTTCCTTCCTTTCTGGAACTAGGTGTTCTAGGCTCGTCCTGTGTGTTTCCTGCCCAGTCCCAGAGCCAGCCATGTCTGCACGGGGCCCTGGATCCTTCGTCTGGGCGCTGGCGTGCTGGCCGCTGTTGGGCCGCCGCTGCTTCTTGGCCCTCAGCAGACAGAGCCAGGGAGTGCACGCGTGTGCCAGCTCGTGTGCATCCACTTATCTAGGGACGTTTCTGAGTGTAGCACCCAGGTCTCTCTCTAGTGGACCAAACGCGTCCACAGTGGCATCTGCAGCACACGGGTCGCTCCGCCTGTCCTGCGCTCTAACCGCCTCCAGCAGTCACAGCCTGGCACCCCCGCCCACCGCGCACTGGCTCAGCTGTCCCATCAGGACACGCGACAGCAGTCTGCGTGCCGACCCATCTCTGTGGAAACGCTTTATCGACGAGCACAGGGCTGCGTGCAGCTCTTTCTGCTGTGAATCTACAAATCCCCCATTTCCCGGCACCCGCCCCTCCCCCGCCAGTGAAGCCGTTTCCTGTCACCTAAGTGAGACTGTTTTGTCACATTCTGGATTCCGTTCTCCCGGGATGACTCCTAAATTCTGCATCTTTTCAGGTTCACTGTGTGTGCTGTTGAGCTCTGCGGCCCGTGACAAATGCAGTGTCATGCGCCCTCCATGGCAGCGGCACAGAGGAGCTTCACCGCCTAAGACACCCCCGAGCGCATTGGGAAGCTCCCCTCCCACCCGTCTAAGGGCGGCTCCCAAGGGTGCAGGTGTCCGAGACCCCACCTGGGGAGGGACAAGGAGGCTGCTGCTCCTTGTGCTCCTCAGCCAGGGGGAGGGTCTACAGGGGTCTGAGGCCCTGAAGCGGTCACAGCAGGAGCTGCTCTGGTCATCAGCTCCCTGGGCCTCTCTAAGGCCAGCGGCCAGTTCAGGGTAGGGAGGGCGCCTGCCACAGAGCCGCACTGCTGAGGAGGACCCGCACCGGTCCCAGCAGGTGGTCTGGGGGCGGACAAGACTGGCGGTGCACACGCACGTGCGCAGGCCTGGGGTCTCCCTCGGCCAAGTGCTCTGAGAGACGGCGTCCCCAGAGCTGACTCCCCAGAGCTGACGGGCAGTGTGCTGCTGCCCTGGGGCCCTGTCCGCCTCTGCAAACGAGGGACACTGAGCCAGCTCAGCAGACACGCACCCGTCCCCTCCAGCTCTGACGCCCAGGGACCTGCCTCCTCCTCTCCCGCCGCCTGTGCCTTCTGCCCACACGCTTCTCTCCCTCTTCAGGGAGAACACGGGAAACAGTGTCTTTATTCAGATCAGTAAACTCCCCCAGAGAAAAGTGTAGCTGTCCCAGCAGGGAGCTCAGGCTGCTGTGGGACGCGCCCCTCCAAGTCACTGCAGATGGGCAGCCACTGCTCAGCCCTCAGCCAGCCTGAGCCCCGAACCCTCAGAATGTGCCTCAAACAGGGAGGAAGGCGGGGAGAGGGTAAGGAGCAGCAAGACCCCAACTCCCCTGCATTCCCCCCCCCCCCCCCCGTAAAACTGTTTCCTGACATAACTTTGCTCGTCAAGTGTGAGCTCGGAGGCCCCACAGGGAGGGGAGGAGGGGAGGCCTCACGTCCACGTCACGCTGTCTCTGTCCTAACAAGAAAGCCCCCTGGGCTGCCGGAGAACGAATGACTGTGCTCTGCACCGTGGAACACAAACTGAGTTTCTTATCACCCCCAAGTGTCCCAAATGCAGCTTCTCACCCCTTAAAAATATAAAAAGCAGAGCCGGTTGGCAGGCCGGGCCTGGCCTGGGTCCACCCCTCACGTTCCAAGTCAGAGAGTGAAGGGTCCCTCCTTCCCTCAGGCCACGAAGCAGGTGCTGTCCGGGGCCTGAGCTGTGGGTCCGCGCTGGCCACCGCGTCCTCCCCGGCCCCCAATACCCCACTGCCCACACTTGCGAGGGGCCCTGCAGGGCGCTGGGCGCAGTGCTGGACCTGGAGGCCGCCCAGTCTCACCAGACCCAGGAGAGATGGCTCCTGGACGCTGCCCAAGACCACGGCTTCTGATGACTGGCTCACTGCTGTGGGTGAGCTGTTCCCCTTGACGGAGCTTAAGGCACAGAGAATGCTTCAGTGTGTCCGAGGGTGTAAGGATCAAACTGAGAACCAGCAGGGCTTCACCAAACCAAACCTCATCAGAAGGGAGACAGAACAAAGTTGTCACAGGCCTGAGGGACTCGGGGAAATGACGAGCCTGTGAAACCTCCAGGTATCATGAGTGGGCGCTGGGGTCCACCCGCTGACGTGGTGACAACTCAAGTCGCTGCCCCAGTTTGGGGATGAAGCTGCAAAAGCTCCCAGTCCCCAAGGCTGTGGCTCTGGCCGCAGGGAGCAGGGCCCCCACCCACCCCAAACGGCGCAGCGGGGGCCTGGAGGGGACAGCGGTTCCGTCAGTGGACAGAGCACTGTGTGGAGTGGGGTAAGCTCTGTCCTGGTCCCCATGCGCACACACCCTGGGACCGGGGCCAGGCCCACAGTGAGTTCTGCTGCTGACCGAGCGGCTGGCCACGGCTCTGAGTCGCTCCTGGGGTATGGGGATGACCACTCCTCAGGACTGCTGAGGACTGACCGAGTGACGTCGATTGAAACCCTCTGTGGGCCATAAAGCTCTGTACCGATGTTACCGTTTCTGTATTAAAGGGCTTCTTACATGATGCTCTCCGGGGATGACATGGGCACTGGGACTGCAGTGTCTCCCCCACCCACCGAGCCACTCCCCCCCTCACTCACCTACACACTCGCTCACCTACTGACTGTCACCCGTGGGTTTCTTCCATCCTTTCTTTCTCCACCTGTTCATCTACCATCCACCTAGCCACCCGTTCCCCCTCCCTTCCCTCCTTCTGTCCATCCGGTAGATCCCACCATTCTTGAGAGCAGCGGTGCTGGCAGCCAGGGAGGACTGCCCGGGCCGGAGCACAGGGGTCACTCCCCGCCATTCTGGGAGGAGGGCCACGCCTGTGTCCTCAGGTGGTGCCAGTCCTTTGCTCCAGATGGAACTGTCCCTAAGGTGGAGGGCTGGCCTGGCCTGGTGGCAACACTGAACTTCTAAGCACACTGTGACCACAAGCTGGGGGCAGTACAGCGCAGCCGTTCCAGGAACCAGCAGCAAGTCGCCGAGCACTGAGAAGAGAGAGCAGTGCGCGGGGCACAGACAGTCTCCGCTGTCACGCCGCTGCCACTTGAGGGAGACGTGGGCCTCACGTCCTGGATGCAGACACGGGTAGCTGTCCATGACTCTCATGATGAATTTCAAATACGAGCTTAGCCCCCAAGGTCTGGTCCTATACCTTTGCTGTCCTGACGGCCCACGCGCCGCCGTGGACCAGTAGGCGCACCACATACCACCAGGCTTCCGGGCTGGGGGTCCTGCTCCCACTGTCCCCCACACCCAGGTGGCTGCCCTGACCTCCACTCGGTTTGCCACCACGACCCCCCGAGCTGGCTGGCCCCCACACCCTCTCAGAGCACTCACTACCCTGCACTGGTATTATCTGCATACACGTCCATCTCCCCACTGAGGCCGTGAGTTCCTTGCGTTAGAGACACCGTCTTACCCCTTGGGGACATGGGCAGTGTCATCCGGGTCCCTCCTTAGCCCTGAGCAGTGGCTGAGACACATGGGCACTTGGTGAAGAAGCAATGGAGGGAGGAAGGTCTCTGAGGCTCCTCAGTGGGGAGATGTCCTTCGGGGGGTGCGGGGACCACAGGCTCACTGGGCTCCCCGGCTGGAGTTAGCCTCTGCTCACGCCCTCTGTCCTGCGTGACACCTAAGCCCCCACAGTGGAGGCAGGTGCCAGAATCCTGGCCCTGCTGTAAAGATGAGGAAATGAAGGCCTTGCTGAGATGGTGGGCGCTGGGGTCCACCCTGGGGTGGGCTTGGGATGGCCGAGTGCAGCCATCAGCCGAGTT